TATCATGGGACCTGGATCGAAAGTTCCCCCTGAGGGAGGGAGGAGTGATACGGGAAACGGGAAAGCGGGTTGCGATTCGGGATGTTCCACAGGCGTTACTGTGATTGTAGGAGAGGGCTCACGAATTGGTCGCGATGGTTAAGGGGACACTCGTCGTGAACCTTGTGGTCGTGTAGTCCATATAGGACTGACGGAGTGACTGCGGGCTGCCGAGGCCGAGAGCGAACGAGAGGAGGTACGAGCGAAGGAACGAGCTGCTTCGGATCCTTGATCCTTTAAGCTTTCCACAATTCTCAGTCCTAACGGGCTCAGCTGAGGGCTATATTTCTGGTTTCTTGCGAAGAGTGTCAGTTGCCCTGAATAATCCGCAGGTTTCTCCTTTAATAGGGGCACCGCAGGCACCACCTCAATCATCAGGACATCATTATCCTCGTCTATCTGATATCCATCCTTCGCAGCCTTTTCCAATGCTTCCATCCGCACCCTCATTGCCTCTTGGTTTCCTAGGAATACCAAGAATGCTTCATGTTGCCTTTTCATCCATCCCACCGATAAATCTATGATCTGTTTCCGGAAGACCTTCTGTGTCTTCTTATTCCAATTATGCAATTCCCCCTTTGCCCTTGTGATCTCCTGCATCACTTCTCGCAGGATGTAAGGCTCGACGAAGTTGCATGTAAATTCCGCGATGGTCAATTCTTCGGCTTTGGGGTTGTCCTTTTGTACACCTTGTGCAAAAGGAATATCGCTTAGGAACGACAGAGTGGCGATGCCGGGGTCCGGGAGGACCAAGTCTGGACATTCATTAGGGAGTTCAATAGGAGCTGCATCGATCAATAGGTGCGATGACTCTCCTAGGCCGCGCGTGTCTGCGATAATAGATGCTCTGAAAATGGCAGCTTCTAGTGGATTCTCGTAGAGATCCAAGATGCTGTCCGAACTCGACGTTGTCTCCTCGACCGTCGCTGGCAAAGCTTGAGTAGCCATTGTGGTCTATTAACGTCGATTTCACCAACAAAAAATCAGGAGGAGAGTTAAGCGAGAGGCTCGCTTAACGATATACTGTAACGGGGGCTCCCTCAGGTAGATGGTTCCTAAGGATGCGACCGCACCAAACTTCGGATCTCTTGAACACATCTCTGGCAAAAGTATGAAGAATAAAAGTAAGCAGTAAAACTTAATATCATTAAGCTCAGGCTTATCTCAATTAAAGTTGCTCAAGAGGATGTTGATTCTGTCGGGGTAGGAGAGTTCTCGTATAATCTTTAAGTAGTCAGACTTATACCAAAAACTCCCCCATCAGGTTACCCCGACCACCATGAGTATACCCTTCTCCGTAAGGGTTGCCCCGGCACCATTACCATGTCCCCGAAGGGCCATAGGTGTCAGCGCACTCTAGCAGAAATCTCCTTTATGCACAGCAGTTCCTGCAAGGGTGTTTACCAATACACCTGCCGGAGTGAAAACCTCTGCACATCGGTGTCTCCTCAGTGGCTAACTGTCGAGACCCTTACGAAAGCTAACTAAATAACTCTCTTCCCATATGCTATGACCTATGCAAGGACTCGTAGACATCAGCTGTCTTCCGGCTAACCTCTATCTTTCTTGTTTGCGAACTTAGTGGGTCTACGACGCTCCCCTGGAGAGCTGTGTCAGCGGCGGGACCCATAGGCGCTACCCATGGTCCCTTACCCCCGGCACACCACTTATTATGTTAAGTGTCATGCTATTAGAGTCTTCAAACAACCCACAAAGAGCCTACGGCAAAGGGGCATGTGTAGGCTTGATTGGCGTAAAACCTTCCCAGATGTCTCCGGCACTACCCGGGACTACTCTGGGGACCTTTCCGGATAGCTCTCACTAACTCCGTCAGTTTTGGTCCGTTTTACTCCGTTCCTTTTGGAGAAGGTACTTGACCTTCTCACCTTGGCTCCCTTATATATCCTGCAAACAGCTTCCAGTCGGTCGGACAGCGACGACGCATACAGTGTTATGGACATGTCTTCATAGATTTCATTTAACTAGCATAACGGCAACTCCACCCATTTTGGCCCATGACGCCCGGGGCAAACCCTGGGGCCGCAGGTACCTGTTAGGAATAATTCTACCAAGTTACAGCTTGTTCGGAGCACTATAGCTCCTTCCGTAGTCTTCCGAGCAAAGTGCAATCAAGTGCCCTTGGATCGTCATTGTGTAACAAACAATCCTAACATTTCCCAGAATTCCTGCAAGAACATTTCCGACGGAAGGTAGGGTAATAGTTTCCCAAAGGTAGGGTAAGTATGTCCATGGTGACACAAAACCAGTCTCCATGGTAGGGTAATGTGACTTCCTTAGGTAGGGTAAACTCACCCGGCCTTCTGACCTATCCATAGGCCAGAGCGGACATTGTCACGTTATTACCACTACTTAGGTATACCTATTCCTTAAGTACCTTCTGTTCTTTGAGATTTCTGGACCATCAGATATCTCTCGGATATGCGCCTGCATATCCGCCTCGTCTACCATCTGACCTCTTGGTCCTATGTATGGGCATAGACGTAGGTTACCATAGCTCTTTATCGTGGGGTCGTTACAGTGGGTGAGGTCTGTGTGTTGATATGTGTAACACCATGGACAGAGATAATTCTAACGGGTTTTCCTCTCTCTCCTGCCTTTTCTGTAGAGAACTATTGTTTCCTTTATCTGCAGGGTTGTGCAGTTAGGCCTAGACCAGAGGGTCTTGGGAGAGTAGTTTTGGTGCCTGCAAGGCGAAAGACATGCTCTCTTGTTTTGGTTGTAATTGAGTATCAAGAATCCTATGGTTCATGCCATCCAAAATGTGCACCAGACTAAAAAAAAATGTGTTACATGTGGCTGTGCAGATTTGAATACCAAGCCCTACATTGTTAATAAGTCTGAAATTCAGGGTTTAAACAATAATTGAATCATAATAGAAGAACAACAAGATTTTTGTAAGTACATGAACAAAAAATATCCATTATTGAGAACCTTCTCCAACTGTGTTAATATTTGTAGAGGTTAATTACCTAACATAGATTGCTGCCCATATTCTAAGTAACTTGAGCCTTGTGGAATAATAGTCTCTTGAGACTCTGGATTAGAACTAATACCACTTGTACTAGTCTTTTGTTTTTTGGAACCTTGAGGCCGACCACCTAGATGGCCTACAATCTAACTTAGAATTTTGTGCATTTTAGAGAGAGGCATTGAATGTATTATTTTGAATAGTGATAGATGAATCAAATATCATCAAAGAAGAAAAAAGACTTTTAGAAGCATTTATCACAAATCTTCATAAACTATCACTCTATTAAGATCAAAATATATCATATCATAGTAAATTTATATTAGGGTTATAGAAGTCATATATGCTAGTAAGTTTTAGGTCTCATAGATTTTATTTTGTGTTATAGATTATAAGTTACCCTTCTTTCATGTAAATAAAAACAGACTTGCTAAGCCACAAATAAACAATTATTAAGCTTCTATGCTGTGGCTGGCGTAACACATTTTACATCTTTTCACCAAAAGCTGAATGTTTTAAAATAGATAGGCAACACAACTATTAATATTTTAAGGAAATAAAAACCTCAGAGTCATTCCCCTTCATTTTCTCTTTAATCCTGAGGTTTTTTTTCCCTTAAAACATTGCTACTTGTGTTGCCTATCTATTTTGAAAACCTGAAAAAATCTGGTGCACATTTTGGATGGCATGAACCATACCAGGTAATAGAGTGCGACAGGTAACCATTCTTAGGTTGGGGTAGCTCATTGTTCCTAGCCCGTTGCCTACGCAATGTAGATAACTAAGTCCCTTGACTTTTATCTTATTATGCCTATTAACTTAATCTTACTCAGTTCTCGCTCAAGACTTAAATGTTTGCGTATGGGAGGAACGACAATTCTTAGGTTTTATAAGATAAATCTTAAAGAGCATCAAGGTAGGTTTTTATTAGTAAAATATAAAAATAGGAAATACACTAGAAGAATATGTGAAGAGCTCATACTTGGAGTGCTAGCCATCCTTTATATAGTTGCTCTTCACCTGGCATGACTCATACCTTGTATCGTGTGAATCTTGTGACTCAGAACTGTGAGTCATATAAAATCCATCAGCTGACTCATATCAGTTGCTGTGCAACAGACTGTAAACCAATCACTGCATTATAAGTAAACCAGGTGTGCAATTTGCATCACCTGAGCGAAACCCATGACTGATAACTGGGGTCAAGTACAAAAATCATAACATCATGTACCGCACAACCGTGAGTCACAAACTAGTAAACATAATACGCTATAGCATACTAGTGTGAGTCATGTGCAATTCCAATATACCTATAGCTTTGGAATTCTGACTGATGTAAAATCTGCCTTGCTTAGTCATACTTTATGATATTAAGACTTTTTTCATACAATACCAGGAGGTACAAGTACATTTTTGAGCCATAATCAATAAAAATAATAAGAAACAGAAACAAAAAAGACAATTACAAATATCAGATGCTGCAGTATTGGAAAAGATTTCATCAGGAGTCAAATAATTGTTTTATTTCTTCTTCTGAATAATATGTACTGAGGAATTATTTTAAAGTACTAGATATTTATCTTATATTCTTATTGCATTTGAAATAAGAAAATACTTATTGTCTATTTGTTCATGTTTGATATTTAAATTAAGACAGCTTAGGTAAAACCTCACCTTAATACTGTCATTTCTGATGTTTGTATTGGCTGATACTGCTCTGCTATTCTAACTCCATTTAAAACCTAATGAATTGAAAGGATAATTGAAAGGTTCTCTCTTATTTCATCTATTATTACTGGCAATATATTGTTAACCTTTAATAAAATATATGAAGTAAAAATAAACTCAAAGGACATCTATACCAATGCAGCCTGGTTTTTAATTTGTCCAATGCCTAATAGTTAACAGGTCTTCAACATCTTAGCCCTTATTAAAGTCTCCTGTAAATCTTTTTTTACCGGATATTACAGGATTTAATTCAAAGTACGGTGAATGCATTATTAATTTTATGAACATACTAACCCTCTAGTTTACAGGTTAGTAAGGTGAATCCTTTTCCTATCATACAAACCTTTAAGAAACTTTCAAGTAACAGTTTATAAGGTACAAAACTTTCACCTTACAAACTTTGTGGAGACAAACACATTATACCTTACAAACCATGGTTCCCCAACAGCTCCTTAGATTTTATTAACATCCATTGCACCGGAATCCCCACCTCTTACCATTAACTAACCCCTTTACAGTAGGATTTATTATTTGAGTTCTTAAAGTACTCCCATGTAAGCATACTGATTGCGGTAACCATATCTGCCGAAATGCCACACACGAAGCAACAAAAACAAACATTCCTATCGACGAGTAACCTGGACATCAGAAGCAGGTTTTTCGCTAATTCCATGATAGGATCACGAACACTCATTGCAATCCTATTCGCTCTGCACCACAGGGTATTCGCGTAGCAAGAAGATAGCAAGTAGAAGGATATAAGGAAATTACAGTAGTAAAATAAACAATCAAAACAATTAATGAACGCCATGTGCTTGTTGTTACCACGACTAGCTGACGCGAGTATATTCTATAATTAAGCAGGAATCAACTTGGGATCTTGAACATGGATTTGGTTTTCTTGGCCTCGGCGATGAGATTGGCGCTAAAGGTCTTGCCGAAGTTGGTGTCATCGGGAAGCCTAGTTATGAAGGCATACTCGCCGGTAAAGATTGCAGCAAGCTTCATGGTTGAGTGGAGAGGGCGATCGAAGAAGTCTTTGTTACCGCCACCGCCAGATTTTCCACCCTGCGCGCAGTGTAGATGGGTCTTGATCATGTCGACGGCGGACTGTCCAGCTGTGGGATTCCCGGGAAGAGCCTCGAAGATATCAAACTCGCCACAATCCGGCCAACAAGAGCAGGGACCACTCTTGATCCCATATTGTGCAACTCGGGCGATCTTATCGTTCAAGAGCCACAGAGCCGGAACATCATGAGCGCCCTTTCCACTGACATCTCCCTTGTCGCGGGGCATGATAAATTCGAAAGCGAATACTCTCATGTCTCCTCCAAAGCCATCTGTTCACGCGTAAGTAATGGGTTATGCAATGGTGCTGGACTTAACATACGATAGGCTGGGATTCCGGGCCTGTAGAACCCACAGTCATTTTCGGCACACTTCTTATCGGAGAAGATTATAACTTCACTGCCAGAGGCGAGAATGATATCATCCAGAGTCTCTGGCTTGGAGGAGCCGCCGGTGTTGTCTTTGTTAGCATAGGAAATTGACTGCCCAAAGCAATCCCTGTTCAATATTAGTAGACTTATTAACCAGAATCCAAGAAGCAAACTCACATGTCGAAATCGCCGGATCCCTGTCCACCATAATGATTCATGAAAACAAGGCCTTCTGATGTACGTAGCTCAGCATTGTAGTACGCCTGGCGACTGAATGTTCCGCTAGCAGAATCGGTGTCATCCGGCTTAGGGCCGGTATCGGGCTTGACGACGGCGGGTGGTGGGCCAACCGAAGTGGATGGACCATTATTCTTGACATTGTTCGCCGCGGGGGTCGCAGTGACCTCGGCATCGACTGTCTTGTAAGTAGTAGCATACTCGGTAACAACTTCCAAAGCTGGCTCAGCCACGCGCCTGTGATTGTGGCCGTGGGCATGACGCCGCAGGTGCTCCTCTGAACGTTTGGACTTCTTGTTATCAGTGGTATAGTAGGCATACTGTTTCAAGCCAAGAGGGCCACGGAAGTGAACAGAAAACTGACCCAGGTTAACGTCGTGTAAAGAAAGATAGTTTTAGTTTTCGGTGCTTACCGGTTCATTTATAGGAGCACCAGGTCCAGAAAACTTCTTCGGAGTGTAGGTACATTTGCAAGACTGCTTATCCATGCCTGTGACATCTTGGTAGTCACCCGTATGTCCGATGTTGTTATATCCAAGACTCTCAACGCGATTGCAGTATGCGATCGAGTTGATCACCATCCCCGTTTCGCATTTCGATTCCGCAGTAGTGGAGCTAAGCATAACAGACAGGACAAGGAAGCCCCCAACGACAAAACTGTGGGAGCGAGCCATCGTGGTCGAGCTTGGATGGTCACCGACAAAAGATAGGGATCCCCTCCACTTAATTGTCGCGAAAGCTCGAAGGCAACTAAAACGAAATCTTGAAAGGGAATACGGGAACTGAAGCTGGGATCGTAACAAGGGACGATGGTACAAGAAGGACGGTAAGGGGAAGTTTGCACCAGGGGGGAAGCCTGCTCATATACGGTTGGCAGGGCGGGAAGGACAAAGGGGGTGGTGACTATAGGAGTATTCGAGCACAGTATAAGCCGTTGACCATGGCAAGCAGCCTATGAAAGCGCCAGGATAAGTGACAAGGGTCCGAAAGCGTCTCTTGGCTATAGAACGGTAATTTCCGGTGGGTACGGCACTGACCCTGGCCGACAGTGTACTCGTAGCCGCTGCCATCGAGGACGAGAGTACGGTATGCCTCCGTGAACAAACGGCGAGGAGGTTGGAGTGGCGCTTGACACGGGCCATCTGTCCCAAACCAGCCAAGAAGCGGGAGATGCGTGGGTTGTGATGTACCCGTACTCGAGTACCAGTATCTCATACCTAAAACAGAGGGTTACCGTTTCTGATCGAGAGAATCTTGTGTCGGCGAAAAATCCTCTACAGTACTGGTGCTCCAGAACGGACGTGGGATGATGATGCCCGAAGGTTGGGCTACCGGTAGGCCGAGAGGTGAGAGAGGTGGCACTGTCCTGTCCCCAACCACAACTCGACCAGGTGAAATATTGCCCCTGGAAGAAGAAGGACCTGCGTCGACGCCCGCTCATTTGTCACGCAGGTTCGGGGCGTTGGTACATGTGACATAAAAAGTACGGTACCGGTAATTGACTGCCATCGACCCCGATAGCATATCTTATAATCCCGATGAGCAGTCCGCACGAGTGAATCTACACCCGAGTAACAAAATTGCAATGTTCGAGCAAGGGTTACCGGAAAAAGGTTGTGACACTGGATGAAAATCGGACAATTTCCACACGGTTGTGGGTGGCAGAGACCTTCCCCGTGTGTGTCAACAATATCAGGTACAGTACTCGAGTACTTGGTACCGGCGCCCATGACGAGTACCTCGGTAGCAGAACACTGTCTGCTGTTCCAGGTTTGTACTATACAAGTAGTGGCAGTCAGCCCCAGATAGGGGATTCTGGGGCAAATTTGCAGAATTGGGGAAATTGGGGTATGAACAAGTACAGTACCGTAACACTATTCTTGGCGCCAAATCTGGCAGTTCCACTCAAGACCTCGACCAGGGGAAACACTTTTTCGAGTTAGGTCGGAACGGGTTCTTGACAGGAACGGTGATAGTCCTGGTGAGTACTCGAGTGGCATGCGGGACGAGTACTCTAGTACAACTGGCATCCACGAGAAAAGGGGCTTTCTCCTGAGACTTGGATCTTGGTCCACTCCCGAATAGATACTCAGTAACTTACCTGGGCACAAGTACTCGTAGATGACCTTAAATCAAAACGCGCTACTGCAACCTTATAATTGAAATTAAGTGACAACCAAGGAAACTCTTTCTGGAACAGGTAGGTTCCTAGCTGAACCAACGCGCCACAATGAGCGAAGCGAAGGCAAAAGCAAGAAGAGGGAACTTTAAGTACTCGTAGGTGCCGGTACTCGAGCAGAGGTATCCAGTAGCGCCAGTATAGTCACACCTCGCAGTCCCGCATTTCGATAATCCGGATACCTCGCTGTCCCGTATGAATCTCGGTGAACTCGGGGTTTCGTTCCACCAAAACCTCACCCGCTGTCCCGAATCCCTCGCTGTACCAGACAAATTCCTCGGATTTTGGCCATCCAGGATAGCGAGGTGAGACTGTACGAGTACTCGAGTACTTGTAGATGAAATGAAGAAGGGACTGGAGCGCAAGTGAAAAGGGGGAGAGGGGTGGGAAAGGGAAAAGGAGGCACGAGAGTCAAAAAAACAAATAGGAAAAAAGCAAGGGGGGTGGGGGAGTGGAGTGTTCATGTCGCAGAATCCCACTACCGTAGTGGCTTGCGTCCTAAGACGTTCAATTGACGACAGCACCGAATCCCAAGTACGTACTAGTACAGTACGGTACTTGGCAATTCATCAAGTATTCGGATGAGTTATGAATTGCCAAGTACTCCTCCACGGAGAAAGGGGTTGTTGCTCTGGTTCAACGGTGAAAGTATAGTACCGGGACTCGAGTGCTGCCAAAAGGAATACGGGGAGAAAAGAGAGGGGGGAGACAAGGGTGACAGAGAGTCGGTTGGTAAGCCGGAAGAGGTGACTAAACCAGGCTTCAAGTACGGTTCGGTTACGATCATGTGAGTAAGTACAAAGTATGTGAATTTATTGCCCATTCCGGATGTCACCAAACTTGTTTCCCACATTCAGGACTACTCGACATTGCTTTTAACCAATGAAATGTTTGAATGTTAGCTACTACGGTAATTTTTTAAATTTTTTTATAATTTGTGCATTTATTGATTCTTGTTCAAAAACAGGTACGGATTGCAACAACAGATGAGGTGGAAAAAAGTCTTGATTTCAAAAACTTCCTCTGTACCTCCAGGCACAAAACAACTCCCAAATCACTATGGTCTGGTTGGAACCACATATCTGCCAGCATGAAGAAAATGATTGTCCTCCATAGAAGAGATAGGAGAGAGAAGGAAACTCCTTTAAAGTAATTCTATTATTAGTAAAAAATAAGTCTTGTATTAGATATACAGGTATTAGATTCAGACAATGCTAGTAACTGGTATCCTTAGGCATTATCAATATAATGTATATCATACCTTGTAGGACAAAGGTCAATATCAGCAGAGATTTCACACAGGCCCCCCTGTGCACTGGCATCTGGTAGGTTTGATGTACAGCATGCATGGGAGATGAATTGTTAATTGAGACTAAGGAGATACAATTACTATTTTTATCAAAATAAGATAGCTTGCATCCTGTAATGTAACACGTGCGGATGTCGGATAAAGCACAGAAGTTGGACATTGCTTTTTCGGTGCCAAGAGGGTGACAGCATGTCAATTTAGAGCTATATATCTCAGGAAGACATAGGTGGAAATTGAATCTGTAAACAACAAGACAATTAGCAACAGAAAAGGCTCAAGCTATTCAAAAATCAAGGATTAACAAGGAGAGGGAGGACCACATTCAACAGGCTCTCACTGCTCAGAAGAATGGATACCCACTCCCGACTTTGCAGAACCTTGGTCTTGAGTTCGGTAGACTACGAAGTATATTATATGATTAAGCTATGGGGGAGAGACAGAATCGATAATAGGCCCATGAGCACTAACAAAAATTGCCTCCTGGCACTGAAAAGGCTTTACAAGGATGGTGTTCAGATATGGATAATGCTGGCTTTGCATCTAGAATAGATATTTTATGAGGAATAGCATAGTTGCTAGTAAGAAGAAGGGTAGAGGAGGAGAATGATACTAAACTTGCAATCCTAAGATGGTCTTAGACTACTCACTCACTCTCTTGATAGGCACCCACTCAACTCTTGCTGTCCAGTATAGTGGACAGCTAGATCAGCAATGGGGTCATGTCAGCAACCCTACTATCATACAAGATTTATGTCCCAAACTTGATTAAATATTACAAACAAATAAAATCCAACATCTGAACATCTACAACATGAATGAGAAAGGCTTTATTTTGGGGTTTTCAGCATAGTTGCAGGTTATTTGTCAATTATCAAGACGTAATCAACTGGTAATATAAGACTGGAGTAGAGAATTACTCACTTTCTTAGAGTATGTTTCATCTGATTTTATTGTTGCTTTACAATTTGTTGTTTATAAGATAAAGTCTTAGCAAGCAGGATGGCATGGTAAGACAGATGATTTATTAGCTGAAATCTGCCAGAGTCCTAATGGGTAGACCAATGACTCTCTAGATCCTCAGTGGTGTATTGGGTACTTTGATGTTTTTATAAGAGATCATACAGATAGACGGCCTTGTCTCTTAATTACAGTTTGGCTACATCTGTTACACATAGAAGCATAATCGGTATAGCATGTGACTAAATACATAAGGTCATGTGTTCAACTCTGGGCCCCACCGTAGTTATTGCATCAGCAGAAAAAAAAATCTTGCCGGACATGGAATGTCTGCGTCCGGACGTCATAGGTGATTTCTTTTCGTTGTGTACATCCTGACTGTCAGGACACTGACTCATTTCATCCGTCCCATCCGCTGCGTCCACACGAACCTACTTTCGCCTGCACCTCTTCAGACACGTGTCGCGCACCCCATTCGTCGCAATGCCGTCTGCTCTTTTACTCCACGCCCTTATTTCGTCCGGTGGCCTTTATTTTCTATTGTTCCCAGATCTTCGCCTCCTGAATGCGGCTTTACTAAACCGACCCGCCCACGCAGCGAGGATCCATCCAGTAACATCCCATAATAAATCCTTCGCTCACAGTACTCCGGTGTAATCCTAGTATCCGCCTCTCATCCGGCACATATCTGCCAACTCCAACCGTCCTCTTCCCACCATATAGTTGTTCTCACTACCGTCCCTAGCCTTCTTTGCTATGGCCTTTGTGCTGGGACAGCAGCAGAAAGACTCACATGATGTAAAGATGGCGGTGGACATTGGCATATAGGTGCCCAACGATTTATGTTTCTTTCCGAGCTAGCTCACAGAACGAATTGTATCCGCCCCAATCCACACTCCTGATATTTGTACTGCTTATTAGTACTTCGGGCTCTGCATATCCTCTCTGGCGGCATTTTTCAATTTTCAGTTTACTTAGCTAGTAGCATTACCGTGATCCTTATATAGTCTTTATAAGTATATATATACAAGAATTCAATATAGCTCATTAAACGTTCGCAAATCAATCGGCTGATTCACTATCCATTGTCTCTCCCTGGCAGGAACCAGATGTGCCTGCCCGATCACTACTCCTATATCGACAATTAGCATATCCCGCCCGCTGGACTGCTTGCAAACTCGGATATGTCCACTCATATTGTAAAATCTCCCACTATTTACCGCATTGAGCACTTGAACCAACGCCAGCCGTCTGACACCTCCAGCCTCACTCCAGACATTTCTTATCTTGAAAAGTCCTAATAATCGTGCGACACACCTCCCCCGTAGATTCCCACAACTGTCTGCTCTGCCAACCTGGATCCATATCCAATTGTTTCTCGGCCCTGCGTTTCGGAAAGACTTTGTTCCAGTACAGCGAGCCTGGTGAATCTGGAAGACATCCATTGATTGAAAGTCTGAGACTGGAATTTTGAGCTGGGTAAATTGCTCCACCGGAAGCAATCTCAGTTGTGAGGAATTGGTGGGTAGCTGCAGCTCATCCGCTACAGGTCATTGGATATAAGGGACTATCTCCTCCACCATTGCGGAATAATTGATCTGGTAGGTCTCGCAAAACTTAATTAGCGTGTGGGTGTCCATGCGGCCTCTGAGAACTCGCCGTAGTTCGCTGCGGCTTGAAGATGTCTGTATCTCTTCCGTTACATTTCCTATCCTAACCTTACTATCAGACTTTGATAGTTTCTCCATTGTAAGCAATCTCATTCCCAGGGCATGCTGGCGGCCATATTGTGATAAGATCTGTCGGGCAGCTTCATTTTTGTTTGATCTCCTGTAGCCTTCTTTAATCTGGTCCTTATGCACCCGTTTACCGATATCAATAGAATACATTGTCATGGACCCAAAACGTCGGACGTGGGCCGCAAAGTGACTCAGGTAGTGCATCTTGATAAAGTTGAAGTGGTTCTCACGTCGGATCAAAATTTCCCGCTAATGTATTCTTTGGCGCCTCTCTACATCCACCAGTCGACGGGGCTTTGCAGTGGAGATGTTGAGAGGTGCTTTGGCTCGTTGATCCGCTATCAGTTCTTGTAGTTCACGATCATAACGATGCGCTTGTGCGTGAGTGGCCTTCGAGGTACAAAACTCATGAAAGATGTCTTTCATCTGGTAAAATGTTCACAGATAATCTTCCATGTAAGATATGGTGTCAGGGGTATGGCTCTAATACTAGGCCATTAGACTGAAATCAACCAGCGCACTAACACATTGCAAGGCACGTTTGAATGAGAGGTGCTGAGAACTGTCAGGATTTCGTAATGCAGACGCTAATGTAACTGTAATGCATTGGCTGAGGTTACACATTTCCTTTCCTTGCCATTGCGTGACTTCCTGATAGGCCATTTTTGGTACGCTGAACCGGGGATAAGGGGGATGTTCTTTCCACATGTCGTCTAATGCCTGCTGCCATTTGTGCTTTTTCAGGAATGGTTCTATCCATTCCATCATATGTCTAAATAGGCCAAGGTAGATGTTATGCAAGAGGTCCGGCATATAGAAGTCTGCAGGGTCTACCTGGTGGAGTCCGGAGAACACGTTCCAGCCTATTTTCACCCCAATCTGTTTCAAATATTTCCTAGCACCGGCCATTCCCGTCTCCCTGTACTCAGAGGCAGTTTTTGCATATAAGGTGTAGTCACAGATTATATATGTATGCCGCGGGTCGCCACCAAGCTCTCTGCCCGGAACCTCACACTTCAGGCATCACTTACTGCTTATTCCATGTAAGTTCGTATGCTCAGCATGATCCGCAATCCAGACAGACAAGATGGGAGAGCAGAGGTGTATTTTCTCGTCCGAGCAGTCCATTATTATACCTTCTTGGGCAATGGCCTATAATGGTACAAATATGAGATCAAAAAAAGCCTGCAGTGAATCCGCATTCATCTGCCGCTGGACTTCGTCGGCGCGGGCTGATTCACTGGTAAACTTCAGTGGCACAGGCAGCAATGCAAGAAGGAGGATTGGCATGTTTACCGAGCTGTTTCTTGTCTGCGAAAGGATATTGCTGATTGTCATGTACAGCGGCCAGACTTTCT